CTACTCTACTAAAATTAAACAACTTGAAGTGCAACCAATTAACCGCAATAGGGTTCAAAGGGTAGTTAATGAAACCCACGTTAACATAAGTGTCGTACCCTATTGTACCGTGTACTCAGATTTGGGTGCACGTTAAAGAACCCCAGGTGGTCGAAATTTCCGGAGCCCTCCACTACGGCGTCTCTCATATACATATGGTGGTTTTGGAACGTTAAACCCCACAAATCGTACCCTATTGTAGAATACGAACCTTAACGCAAATTTTCGCTGTACAAAGGCGAGCCTTGCGCCTTACGTTTCTGTTTTGTACATAACGCGTACTTAGCACATTAGCAAAGCGTATACAATTCGCTAATTCGCTTAGTACGCGTTTCATAATCATGTCATGGCTTTTGGACGTAAAGCCCCCAAAAATTACTATTACTAATCTCATAAAAAATAAAAATTAACAGATTGCCGATCATATATTCTATGTAGCTGCCTCGCAAGCATTTTTTTGCTAGTATTGAAGTGTCGTTTCATGGCCCCGTGAAATCAGAGGAACGGGCATTCAGAGGTTTGTGGTAATCACCCTGGATAAAACCACTCGCCCCCACTGAACACGACACGGGGCATTATGCAACGTTAGTGCGCACTTTCCAGTTGTCAGTAAGAACCTATAAGAACGTATCATAGGCTGCCATGAAAAAGTGGCCGACAGACTTCCGCGGAGAGTGTTCGTGCGCAACGTGTGCTCTCCGCCGTGGCTAAGCTTAGAGGCTTGAAGTATTGCTCTTATTTTTCATAACCGTTTATGTATGTTTAAACTGATAAATGTTATTTTAGTACTCCAGCAGTCTCTGACGGCGTTTCTTGGGGTGGATAGTCAGAACCCTAGAAGCTTAAAAAAAACATGACATTCGGCGAGATGGCAGGTGACTTTTGGCAACATTCGAGCGCGAAACCGCACTTTCATCGAAACATTTCGCGTACCTCGTCCTTGAGAATGTCTGGTTTAGCACTCAGATGTTCCCACAGGCCAGAGGGGTGGTTTAGCGGCGTTCACCACCCTTTCTGAAATCCAGATGTATTGTATGTACATGCAAGGCCTCACGCATATATGAACAAGAAACACGCATAGACATGCAAAATGCCACTCTCCCGCTCTCCCTTTCCACCACGAAAAATGTTTCTGGTAACAGCCTGGCTAACCTCGTAAACAGTTAACGTTTTACTTATTGTGTTACGCTGGAGCACTTTCCCGGTAATTTTACGTCGCGACACATATACTTGCAATAATAATAATAATAATAATAATAATAATAATAATAACTGTTGGAGTTTCACTTCCCAAAGCCACAACATGATTATGAGGGGTGCCACAGTAGAGGCCCCTGGGAATTACGACCACCTGGCGCTCTCTAACGTGCACCCAAATCTAAGCAAACAGACATCCAGCCTTTTCACTTCCATCGGAAATCCCGCGATCTTCGAGTCTGCAGTCGAGCATCATGACCACCAGACAACCACGATAAGAGCCCGCGGTGGTCTATAGGGAAGTGTCGGGCGGGAGTGTCGTGGACAGTGTTGGGCGGCAACATGCAGTCGCAATATACGCCAACCAAATGGCATGTTCTCAGGGACCTGACCGCCGCGTTCCTGGACGAGTACGTTTCTCTGACCGAGTGTCCGCCGGCCGAGCTGCTTCTGCGCTCGGCGGGAGACCAGCGCTTCAGCGACTTCGAGGTACTGCAGTGCAACTACGCCCACTTGCACCTGGGTTCCAAGAAGTGGCCCGCCGTGGGCTTCGGCGACTGGTTGCGAGCCATGATCGAGTTCCAGCTGAACTGGCCCGCCATAGAGGTATGCGCTTTGTTGTTTTCGAAAACTGCGGCCCATTCTCAGATATGGATTTCCGTGCAAATGGGAATGTATTCTGGAAATGTAAGCCGCCAGGTATGTATACGGTGGGCTTCGATGCATGATCCATGTCATCCTGATTCGTATTTCATTAGGTTTACTTCACTAAAGATTGACGGTCATCCCAAAAAGTGAATGTCCAGCGAAGCTGTTTCACGACCATCTTCACAAAGACGAAGTTGTTCCTTTCGCTGCGCGTTGTTTTCTTGCTGTGCTCCTGGTGCATGTGATTTCCTTGCTGATTGAACTGAATGAGTTACCCGACGGCTCTCCTTTTTATATACGAAAGCGGGAAATGCAAGCGCGGAGATTCGAAGCCCGCGTGTGTAGTGCGAAGCAACTTCAACCTAATCTTTGCCGGGAACGCGTGATTGGATGCTGCCTTTCTTTGCAGGAGCCTTATTTCATTTCATTTCATTTCATTTATTTACTCTCAAGGCCGAAGCGTTACAGAGAGGAGCGGGTATACATCGTACAGAAAATCAGGAAATACAGCAAATCAAAATTATATGCGCACAATGGCGGTCTGAAAACCATAAAAGAAAAGAAATACTGCGTGATGTGAAGAAGAGGCAGGGTAGTTGTAACAACAATGTTCAACATGGTTGCGTCTTCGAATGACACGCGCACACAAAAAAAACTAACAAGAGAAAACACAGCGTGACTTAAGTGGCGAATTTACGCGAAATGGTTAGAGAGGGCGTTTTTAAACAAAGTGAGGTCAGTGATAGCAGCGATAGGGGCGGGAAGGTGGTTCCACTCATTTGCAGTTTTCGGGATGAATGATTCAAAATATAAATTCGTGCGGGCGCTAGGAACGCCCACTTTAAACTGATGATCGTTGCGTGAGGAAACGTACGATGGGGGCTGGAAAAGAGTGTTGCTAAAAGACGGAATTCAATGAAAGATCTTATGGAACAGGCAAAGGCGAGATATTTTACGCCGCAGTGAGAGAGTGGGTAAGTGAAGATTGGCTTTCATCGAGGTAACACTGGACGTGCGATGGTAGTTTGACATGACAAAACGTGCCGAGCGATTTTGAACCGCCTCGATGCTGTCAGCGAGGTAATTGGTATGTGGATCCCAGACTGATGACGCGTACTCGAGTTTGGGTCGGACTAATGTTTGATAAAGCAGAAGTTTAAGGTTAGTCGGAGCCAAAGAAAAGTTTCTGCGCAGATAACCTAACGTGCGATTCGCATTGTTTTTAATATAATCGACATGCGTGTTCCAAGAGAGATTGTTAAAAATATACACTCCAAGGTACTTGTAGGACGAAACCAGATCGAGATTGCTGTGGTTAAGTGTGTAGTCGCACGGTGCATTATGAGAAATACAACGGGAAATTCGCATAGCCTTGCATTCAGTAACGTTTAGCTTAATTAACCATGCGTCGCACCATGATGAAATGTGATCCAGGTCTGTTTGAAGGGCAAGATTATCTGCGTTAGTCTGGATTTCACGGTAAATTACACAGTCATCGGCAAATAGTTTGATGGATGATGAAATGTCTTTAGGTAAGTCGTTGATGTAGATAAGAAATAGTAGGGGACAAAGAACTGAACCTTGCGGAACGCCGGACGTTACAGGGCTAGTCGGGGAACAATGGTCGTTAGCAGTTACAAACTGGGTGCGGTTAGATAAGAAACATTCAATCCACTTTAAGATGTTAGCATCAATATTTAGCGCGTTTAGTTTCAGAAGAAGTAACTTGTGGCAAACGGTATCAAAGGCTTTAGAAAAATCTATGAAGACACAATCAACAGTAGATGAACGATCAGCAGCAGAGAATAAATCGTTAGTCAAGGCCAGAAGCTGTGTCTCACATGAATAATATTTCCTAAACCCGTGTTGGTGAATGCTAAAGAAGGCGTTACTTTCAAGATAACTCACGACGTGGGTGTAAATTACATGTTCGAGAAGTTTGCATGGTACACTGGTTAGTGAAATGGGGCGATAATTCCCGGGACTATGAGCGTCTCCTGATTTAAACAAGGGAGCCACCTTCCCCACCTTCCAGTCCTCTGGGAGAACACCATCTTCTAATGACTGATCAAAAAGTCTCGACAGAATAATTGAGGAATAAACGTCAGTGTTTTTCAAAAATTTAGAAGAAATGCCATCGACGCCTGGTGACGACGAAATTTTTAAATTTTGGATCAACTTGCGTATGCCGGCCCGGTCAACGTGTACAGAATTCATCACAATGAAATCGCGAGCTTGAACACCTGGAAGGACGGCAGGAGTAGTGTTCGTAAAGAATGATGAAAATGCATGGTTATGGGTGATACAAACGTTCTCACTGGAAATTACTTCGTCCGTGTCAGTGGTAAGTTCAATCTGTTTCCTATCGCCCCCATTAACGACCTGCCAAAATTTGTGGGGATTGTTTTGCAGAATTAACGGTAGCGTTTGCTGAAGAAAGGACTCCTTTGCCGCGGATAAAGCACGCCCGTATTCATCGGCTACCTTTTTGTAAACCTCCCATCTTTCAGATAAATTAGAACGCTTGGCTTGGCGGTAAACGCGCTTCTTTTTATTGGACAGGCGTTTCAATGTTGGCGTGAACCACGGTGATTGACTGTTACATGCGATTTCGCGTAGTGGTATGTACTTGTTAACGAGTTCGGCAACTTTATTTTTAAACAGCATCCAGTTATCGTTGACAGATCTTTGGTTGAAGTCTTCTAGAAAAACGGAGGTGAAATGTTCAAGTTCGGTATTAATGGTTCCATAATCAGCTCTACTATAGTCCCTGAATCGCTTTTTACTTTTTTGTTTACGGGGCGATGCGCAGGGGAGGTTGAAAACGATTGCTTCGTGATCACTGAGGCCTGGCAAAACAGAAAGCGATTGCACGAGATTGGGGTGAGAAGTTAGAACTAAGTCTAAAATTGAAGCACTTGAATGTGTAATGCGAGTTGGGCACATAACCAGCTTCGTTAAATTGAATTGCGCACATGTGTTAAGGAAGCAGGCGCTTTCAGAGGAGCCAGAGCCAGGCGATAAATGGGAGTTGTTCCACGAAATATCAGAAAAGTTAAAATCACCTAGGATTAAAATTGGTGTGGCAGGGAACCTCACGTGTAAGTCACTTAAGACGTCATGAAAATCATTGGAAAAACCAGATGGCGCATTCGGAGGGTGATAGCAGGCACAAACAATGACATCTTTGTGACTTATGCGGATTCGAACGCACACCAATTCAAGTGAACATACAATGGGAATTTTAAAAGACATGAATTCCTCTGAAACAGCGATCAAGACACCGCCACCAGAACGCGAGCCACGGTCACACCTAAAAAAGGAAAATTTTTTGTCGCACTGCAGGATCTCACGGTTTTCAACTTTTGATGACAGCCAGGTTTCGGTCAAAACTATCACATCAGAAAGGCACGTGTTTACTAACGAAGACAAGGCAACACGCTTGTTGATAACACTTCTTATATTACAAAGCAAAAAACAACAGTCAGAGTTAGAGGTATTACAACTTGTGTTAGCATCTAGCTACAGTAAAGAAGATGGGCCTCTGATGACAGGATCGTCGCGATTAGGAGCATTTGAGGGGTCAAGCGAGTCCGTTTCTATTTTGCACACGCGATCTGAAGATGCGCAGTAGGTGTATATTTTATTGCCAATGACTACTTTATTGTATTTAAGAGAAAATTTGTGACCAGTCGACTTGGCGAAGTCGATTAGTTTTTTCCGGGTGGCGCGTGTAGCCTTGCAGAAATCCTCACAGATTGATGTATTTGTGTCACGAAACTTAGACCTCTCAGACAAAACACTATCTTTAGTTTTGGAGGAAGTGAAACGTGCTATCACGGGCCTAGTTTTATGCCGCGAAAATGTTCCTAGTCTGTGAGCACGCACGATAGCATCGTCAGGTAGCTGCAAGTTTAACGTAGAGGTAAGAATCAATCGGACCTTTTCTTCAGAATCGGCCCAAGTTTCTGACGCTGAATCGTCAATTCCGTAGAAAATCAGGTTCTCACAACGAGACCTATCCTGGAACTCATCCAGACGCGCTCGGAGCGAAGCCTGTTCGCTTCGAACGGCGGTGGCTATCATTTCCTGCACGTGAAAGCCGTCTAGAATTTCTTCAAACGAATCTACTCGTTTTTCTAGATCAGTTAGCCGAGTGGTCAAATCTAACACTTTGGACTCAAGTAACTTTTGGTTTTCTTTCACTTCGTCTATGGATTTAATGAGGGTGTCACGCCGTTGGTCAAGGTGTTTTGTTAAATCTTGAATAGCCAGAAGAACGTCACTGCTCTGTTTGCTAGGGTCTTGTTTCGGGGGACCAGGGTTGAGCTCGACGTCTCCGCTGACCAACAACACTTTAGCAACAAAAACACACTCCACAACGGTGCAGGCAAGAACACTTGGGCATGGGAACAGCAGCAGAAAGAGGTTGTTTGAGCGTTTAGAAAAAAGGGGGCGGGACCAACCTGAACAAAAAGACAAAGGGGGTTGTCAGCCGCCGGCATCACTGCTGCGATCCAATGCCCACTGAAGGGCGAAGGGTTCCGCCAGCCGGTTATATGGTCCGTCTGCCTTGACGACGATGTCACACTGACCTCTTCTGCGTAGTAGGGTTTCAATGTTGCGTAAGGCGGCCAACCATGGTCGACGCAAGGTGACGAGTCAAACAAGGGACATGCGTCGATCTCAGGAGGCAGTCGCAGTCGATCCGCGCAGGCAGCAGGGCACGTTCCAAGGATTGCAGCCAGCTGAACAAAAAGACAAAGGGGGTTGTCAGCCGCCGGCATCATTGCTGCGATCAAATGCCCACTCAATCAGCCATTGTGCAGTTTCAATGCTTTTTTTGTGGTTTTCTTCTTCGAAACGAATACTTAGGTATATGCTGTATGCCTGATCGCAAAGAAACATGTGTCGTTTGCCTTGAATCACCTCGTAACGGCATCATGTGGCCGTTACGTAACATGAAGTCACACCATAATTTGTGATGCCATGATGATGAAAGAAACTTTTGCGATATGCGACACCATGACGAAGTTGAATGGTGACGCCATATGTAATGATGATGATTAATTGATTCACTCACACCCGACGCTGTATAACTATCTAACTATCGTCATGATATACCAACTAGCCCAAGCTGCCACGCTGTAAATCAGTCGCAGCCGATGGTCAAATTTCAAGTTTATTGAGGGATCTAAGCATGTCACCTTAAATATTTTCAAAATGAGTGAGAAGCTAAGGAAGCCTACCTATACGAAGAATGACACTCCGCTACGAGGATCAAGATTATGTATGCTTCTTGTTGTACTTGTGTCTTGCCAGTTCGAATAGAGAAAGAGGATAAAATAAAAGCGAATAGGTCTGCAGTAGGTGACCGCAGTACTCAACTTGGGATGGAGGAGTGTGTTAAGCCGGTAACTGGCAGTGCAGGTATACCTCCTCAAATTTTCTTTCGGTGCTCGTATTTCTTTATTCGATACAGCTACATTATGAAATGATTACTACCTGCAGCCGCACTTGAATGTGCGAAACGAGAATATTTTCAGAAAAAAAAATCGATAACGCAGTGATACGAGGCGCAACTGGCAGGTCATGAACAAATTCTTAAATAATAAATGTCGTGAGCAGATAACGAAAATTAGAACTAAAACAGAAACATACAGCCATCCAACAGATATCACCAATGCGTTCAGGGTGTATTTTAGCAGTACCTGTGAATCTCTGAGAAATCCCCCATTACCAACATTACCTCGCCAGCCTCATTTTTTCTTCTTGCTACATACGAGTGCAGAGGAAGTTCTTCGTGTTATAACTTCGCTCAGGTCCATGTTACCTATTCTTGACTCTGTTCATCTATCTCACATCAAGTTAGTCTCTAGTGAGCTATCTCCTGTCATTGCAGATATTGTTAACAAGATGGTGGGATGACCGGCATATTTCCCGATTCCCTAAAAGTTGGTAGAATCACACCTGTTCACAAAAAAGGTGATCGCGAACTTCTGAGTAACTATAGGCCCATTTGTATTCTTCCATTTTTGAGCAAAATAATCGAGCGTCCTATGCCTACAAGATTAATATCCTACTTGACAAAGTTTAATCTGTTGACATATAAACAATACGGCTTTTGGCCTGGCTATTCTACTGAGCTTGCGCTTCCAACCCTCACCGATAAAATAAAAGGGGCAACCGACCAAGGCTTCGTAGTTGGTGGCGTATTCATACAATTAACGAAAGCTTTTGACACAATTAATCAGAAAATTCTTATACATAAACTTGAATCGTATGGAATAACTGGCCCTGCACTTAAATTTATATCTAGATGTCTGTGCAATCGCACTCAAGTTGTTAAGATTGACGGTAAAGTCTCAGCAGCTAAGGTAAATCAAGGTGCTCCTCAAGGCTCGATCTTTGGCCCGCTGCTCTTTTTGCTATTTATTAACGATCTACCTAATGTTTTGACCGTAACACATTGTATCTTATATGCAGATGACACGACCATTTTTACTTATGCAACTAATGTCGATGAGCTAAAACGAAACATTAACGTGGATCCACGTAATATAAGTTCCTCGTGTCGAATGAACACGTTAAGAATTTATCCGTCAAAAACCGTTTTTATAGTTCTTCATTCCTTCCCGACTGTACTTTCAAAATGTATATTTGTGCGTCTGAACGACAATGAAATTCCTATGTCCGACAGTACAACGTTTCTCGGTGTGGTTCTTGACCGGCATATGAAATTTAATCTTCACGCACAATCACTCATTCGCAAGATAACCTTTAGAATACGCGCCATGATCAAAACTAGTTCATATTTTCAGCCACACACAATCCACTCTCTTTATCACGCACATATTCACAGCCATTTATCTTATTGCATATCAACCTGGGGTAACACATATTTGACCCACCTCAACCAACTACAACGCCTACAGAATCAAGCACTTAGACTCATGACTTTCAGCCGTTTCTTAACCAATGCAACGCCACTTTATCAGAATTTATATATACATCCTCTTTAGCACCTCTTTCAGCTGAAGTTATCAGTTGTGATGTATAGGCTTTTTCGCGGTAATGTGCATATAGATAGCATTGTCATGGAAAGCCTTGTAAAGAATAATATTACTAGGTTTTCTGAGCTCGATAACCGCCTTCCGCCTAATGTTCGCACAAACTACGGCAAGTTCGCTACCACATTTACGGGACTCAAGCTGAGGAATTCCCTTCCTTACGTAATAAAATCATCAACCACAGAACATGCATTCAAAAACCAATAAAGAAAATATTTTTTGCAATAGCTGTCTTCATCTTAGCAACTGCTTTTTAATGTTGGGATAACAATTGCTGCATGTTATATTGTCCTTACGTTCTGTATTATAACTTGCGTTTGTTTGATCTTCAGAGTATTCTTTTTTGCCTTGCTAAAGATATATGTATTTTCTACTTTCGTTTTTTTCGCACTGTGCTTTTTTTTTCTTACTGAAGATACCGTAACAACTGAATGTTGTATATTTTGTTTCTTCTCCCGTTAACATCATGTATGGGAGCGCCCCTGACAGTTTCTAACTTTTGGGCTCCTTGTGTGTATTACCAATCCTGTACGCACTTTTCTGTAAACGAACATCGTTGTTGAATAAAACTTGAACTTGAACTTAAACATGACATAAAAAGTCACGATAGCTTAGACAAGTTTCTACCAATAACAACTTCTCAGGCACGAATAAAGAAGCATGACAACCACATCCAAGATAGCTTAGAGGCTTTTCTTTCCCGCCTCCATTTGAAAGATACGTCGAGGTAACTTTCTTGGTAAATTAGTATTAGGAAAGTTGCAATCGACCTATTTGTAGGACGAAGCATGTTTTCTCTGGTCTCGCCGTTTACCATGAAGCTTCGTGATGACAAGAAGTTTTACTGCTCAAGCCCCATATACACACAGAGCAACAGGGTTATCAAAGAAGTATCTTAATGTTTGCTTCTTGGCGTACACTAAAATTCAAGAAGAGCCCGCAGCCCAGTTACCAGGCACCTGCGTAGCGTGCCCTGCAATACTTGGTATTTTAATTCAAAAAGTTATTTGCTTTCATGAGGGTGCACATTCCCGTACGCCGAAACAAACTAGTGGTTGTTAGTAAGCGCCCTGTTTTGACGCCGCTATTCTACGTGCCGTCTAAGCGCTGTTCATGAAAGTCAACAAAGTCATTGTCTACACAGGACAGAGATCGGCTGAAAATAAAAGGAAAGAAGGCAAAGAATGCCTCGGTTTAATAAATGTACTCTCACAGCTGCCTTTAACGCTTCACCATCCTCCACATTTTTCAGGCTGTCAAGGAGAAGCACGCTAAGATGACATCTTATGGAAGCGGCAGATCGGACCCCGAGCAAGTCATACGTCAGCGCAAGTTCCTGCGGCACGTCCACGCTGCCAACATCCTCAACATGGAACGCCTCGCCGGCCTCCACAACGGTGTGATGTAAGAATAAAGTAATATAGCACATCGAACTGTTGGAATTTACATGCAGCGAAGCGGCTCCACATTTTTTTTTTCATATTCCACCCATAAACAAGGACGTCGGCAGAACTCCTTCGAGAAAAGGGGGGAAAATGGCCTCTTATCTGCGTGCTACACTGAAAATCTCGTCGAACGACAATATTCTTCTGCCGGAGCTTGTGCCGAACCCCGGACCACTGCCAGGTGGCAACGCCATATCGTCTGCAGAGGGCTTTTTCTGTGCATTGCGTCGCAGCGTAAAATAGCGCTGCGACGCACTGACAATAGACACTAGCGTAAAAAACACTATTGTCTATATAATTACGTATCTATGTATTTTCTATTAAAAGAACACACTACCTAATACTTACGTAGTGGTGTTGGGCCTCAGATACGCGTAATATTTGCTTTTTGATCAACAATGTTCAGAAGGATGTGGTCCTCGGATTTTGTTGCAGTGTTCATTGGTTGGCGCTGTCATCTTTGTGGATTCTTAATTAATAATAATGTTACAAGGTAGCCCCCATCTAAATGGTTTTTGTGAAGCTTCAGAAATCGAAGTGGTTGCGCATTAAAGGCAAGCCGAAGAAAATTAACCCTATCAGTGAACCTATCTGCGAGATTAAGTGCTTCTAGAAATAAAAAAAAAGTAGCGGCAACTTTTTACTCCCGTAAAAGGCATCCCGTCACGATATGTTTGCCAACGCAAAGCAGGTGATATTCACGCAACGCATGCTTTGTACGTTGTCAAGAGTACTGCCATCGTGATTTACGTAACAGACAGGTTTAAACACTGCTAATGGTATACGGTTCGAGAATGTACAATTTTATGCCAGCAAAACTCAACGTGTTGACGACTGCATTCTAGAAGCTTGTTTCCTTTACTGAAGAGACGTTGAATTCTACACAAACCTTTGCGATTCTGGGACAGCGTGGCTTGTGCTGAGAAAAGGTTTTAAGAAAGTCCAATGATTAGCATCTAAGACATTAGTTCCATTATAGTCATGCAAGAAAAGTATAAAGAAAAGAAGGACCCGACAATATAGACTCACATAAGACTCACTGATAACGAACACAGGCGAAGTTGCGAACTACATAAACGCATTTCATTCCAGAAATCATTATTTTTTATTTTTTAGATCATTTTACACTCGCGAACAATGCCACATTACTGTCAGTTCTACAAATTAGAGAAAAAACAACCGTGTATTGCATTTTCCGACCACAAGAGATGTCATTTACGTGGTCGCGACCATGTTCTAAGAACGCAATGCTTGAAAATTTGCAAGTTTGTTTTGATCAAAATGATTCAAAATGTTTTCCAGAATATAGTAAGGCAGTCTCCTGAGAACAATTTAAATACTTTTGACAAAATTGAGAGTGCGGCCTGTTATTATCAATTTTTAAATTAACCAACAGTTTTGTTTTCTAATGTTTCTAGCAACAAAATTTATATCTTTAGAAATTACTACAAAAATAAAAATGCATGAAATAATCATTCACATACGGGACTGTCAGTGCTGCAAATATGAACAAGCTATGACGTTCACAGAAACAGAAATAGCACCCCACAAAAACGAGTGAATTTCAGAAACATGACGTTTTTCAAAAATATTGAAAAATAGATAAGTTGCCCAGAATTAGCGAAGATCAAATGGGCTATTTCTCCATTACTGCTATGTGAGCTACGCCGCAAAATATTTCTGATACAAAGCTTGCGTCGCTGTTAGCATTATCTCGACTTCACGAAAACGAACTCTTCGTAAAACCGTCGTCGTCACCCGACGATGCTTCTCGATTTTTCCTTTGTTCAATTTTTTTCTTATTACAAAACAATATAAAATTCTCCGCTATTTGGTCATACGGGCATAAGATAGGAAATTACGAGGAAACTCGGAGACACCAGTACACCGCATTTTCTCATCTTTCCTGGAATCGAATGAGCCCCTAGCATCACCCCATTAGGATCGCGACAACCGCATCCTAGCCCTTCAAACTGTTTGCACCCACCCTACCACCTTACCTCCTACAAGACAGGCCCTAATTCTTAAACCCCCACATTTCGTGAAACACTCCACCCCCCCTCCCCATTGCGAATTGTGGAAAAGCCCCTGGGAACGACATACAGCTATTTCATGCTGTGACGCAAGCTTTTCCTTCGGCGGAACGAAACAGAAACAGGCTGGAATACTTGCTTATTAACCTGTGCAACTCACTCGTCAAGATTAGAAACTGCCTGGTAAGATATAGCAAAATAGCGAACAAAAACTCACTGCTCTCTTTTTCTGAGTGCACTAATCTACGAGGCAACAAATGCCGAATCATTGTGTCCCCCGGCTGTCACGAGATGGCGTCATACGTCCACTTGAAATGGAAGCCCCATTTTGAATATAGTGCTTGACGTGCACGGTTTCTCTTGCTCGCCGCTGCGCGCGAGGGAAACCCAGTAAGGAGGTGCACATGTCGCCGAAATCACGTTCATTCCTCGATTGCTCAAGAAAAGTCCAATCTTTCAATAAAGAAACCGCTATAGTGTTCATACACTCCCACATCCATCAAACCATGCATAGAGGCTACGAATGCTGAATTGCTGTATGCCCAGTGTGTCATGAGACGAAGCCATGCGTTCGCTTTCAGTGGTTCCGGGGCTTAGTTTTGGGAACTCGGTGGTGTGCATGTGGTCAGAGGTGCAATCAGGAATGGAGGTGAATCAAAGTAGTGTAAAAGGCCTCGCCAGAGTAGTTGAATTACGAAGTCTGGCGTTTGTTTACGAATTGCAGCTCATGATTTCTGAACCGGATACGGAAACCAATACTTTTTTGCAGACTAGTTGGTTCATACTTGAAAAATTGAATTGCTGCACAAACTTTAAGGAAAACAAGGGAGACAGGAAAGAGCGCATACTACACACTGTGTATTGTCGTTTCTTGAAGCCAATATATACTCATGCTACGCGGCGCTTCCACGTTGCGCACAAAACCAAAGATGCCGCAAACAAAGCTGACCCAAAGCAACTCAAATCAAAATTGACTGTCACCACAATGACAAAAGTGAAAATTTGCAAAATAGAAAAGTGATATAGACCACAATCAAAGTGCGTATGACTTTGGGCATCTCTATATCAAAGTTTGTATGACATAACATGACTGCATGAAGAACATATTTGACTAGTCATAACATGAAAACGATCACATGGATGTCATGAATGTCATCATTTACATTACATTGCCCGGCAGGTATTGCGGTGGTTTCAATCACATGGCATGTCGGAAAACTGGTATGGTATGATATTGTTACGCCACGTATGTGCCGGACGAAGAAGGAAAAAGAAGCAAGGGGTGTGGAAGAAGAAGATCATCATCATCTGCCTGCGCCGATACGGCTCGTCCCTCGAACCGTGTATCAATAAACCCCCAGACGCCTACTGAGGTCGTAACAGAGTGGTGGAGGTGCTGGGTATCGATCCCAGTACCTCTCGCATGATAGCATTGCGAACACAAGCGACCGATCGTTCTGCTAGCCGTTCTGCTAGCTTCACTTATGCCAAATGTCGTCTTACGGCACGTGGATGGCTGACGCAGGTATGATACTGGTGCAAACATGATAAACCTGAGATGCGTGTGATGTAACAACATGACTACATGCTACGCTCATGATGCGCTCACGGCAGTTTTGGTAGCTTCACATGTACTAAACTTGGTATTTCGTGAAGCGAACGGACGATATAGGTAAATGAAACATCCAAACATGATATTCACGACATGCGTGTCTTATAACAACATGACTGCATGTCACACTCATGATGCGCTCGCGGCCGTTTTGCTAGCTTCACACATGCCAAATTCGGTGTTACGTGACGTCAATGGATGAGTAAGGTAAGTGACTGGTGCAAACATGATAACCATGAGATGCGTGTCATGTGAAAACATGACAACATACCATGCTCAAAGCGTGCTCCAGGCCATTTCGCTAGCTCCCCATATACTAAATTTGCTATAACGTGACGTGAATAGATGACGAAGGTAAACGACGCATACAAACATGACAATCATGACACAGAAGCCATGTACGGCACATTTTACTTCCATCTCGTAACGTTGGGCTGATCAACATTTCTCATTCGTTCTTCGCATGTCATCAATTTGCACTGTACGTGGAATCTGCCAATTTTTTGAAGTGTTAGAGAAACGAAAAACTTCATAGCAACATTTTTTATAATGTTTTGCCTAAAGGTTGTGTAGCGCACTGAAATAAATGTACTTTATGCATACAATTTTGTCGCTTCTTGTCATCTAAGTTCAGGACAAAGTTAGAAATGTACCGTGTGCGGAGAGAAAGTATGGAGGCTTTTGGAATATGGATGAAATGTGGTGTCTGTACATTTTTCCTCCAGCGAGCTGCCCAAAGCTCACGTTAATGACGTCTGTCTTGTCATCATCGTTAGAGTATGTCTAAGACGGAAATGTTCTGTTGAGTGTTATTGACGTTTGTGGCAATAAATTTTTTCTAAACACAAGTGTCCGCATGGCCTTGAAGTGTGCGGCCAAGGGACGGCTTTAGGCTCTCCCGTAGTAGAGTACCTAATACTCTTAATCGTTACCTCCTTTTTCGTAAACACCAAAAAGGAGACAATGTATAGAAAAACAGATGCGAAATTTGCTTTCCTGGACTTAGCGTAATCCACTGCATTTACTTTTTCTTTCTACACGCAAAGCATTTCTTAGCGAACTTCGGCTACTTTGAGCGTATCTATCTATCTATCTATCTATCTATCTATCTATCTATCTATCTATCTATCTATCTATCTATCTATCTATCTATCTATCTATCTATCTATCTATCTATCTATCTATCTATCTATCTATCTATCTATCTATCTATCTATCTACGCCTACGACATTTAGCTCTCCTGGCTGTTACGATAATGGTATCAATATCAAAGTTGGTATGGCATAACATGACTGAATGAATAACATATTTGCTAGTCCTAAAATGAAAATCATCACACGGA